ATAATCTGGGGGGCAGCCAGGTGGCCCAGTGGATAAAGCACCAGCCCTGAAGTCAGGAGGACCTGAGTTCAAACCGGGCCTCACACACATTACACTCACTAGTTGTGTGATTCTGGGCAAGTCACTTAACCCCAATTGCCTCACCAAAAAAATAATAATAATGATGATGATAATAATAATAATAATAACCTGGAGAAGGAAATGGCAAACCACTCCAGTATCTTTGCCAAGAAAGCCCAAATGGGGTCACAAAGAGTCAGACACAACCAAACAACAACAAATGGTATCTCTTATGCCATAGGGTACGAGGCAATTCTACCAGTTTAGATATCTCTTCCTTGAGCAGATCAATACTAGAACTTACATCAATGTTAAATTTATAAAAATTGTTTCTGGCAGACCTGTGTCAGAAATGGAAAGTACAGTGTTACAATTTTTTCTTCAACAAGCAAGAGGGAAAATTCAGACAAAATGGTCCAGGAAAATTTGAGGAAGCAGAGAATACTTTCAGCTAGGTGGAGGATAAGGGGAGACCTCACGGGAGGAGATGGTACCTGAATAAAGATTCTGAAAGGCAGGCTAATTCAGAGGGATTAGTTCACTCCAAGTATATGGAGTTGTCTATGTAAATGTAAGGCAGCAGTAGATAAAATTTTAAAGTGAGGAAATAGGTAGTTGTCTAGTTTAATTTAAAGCAATTTAACAAACATTTGCTAAATGCCTACCATATACCAGACAACATGCTAGACCTTGGCCCTACAAAAACAAAACAATACTTGTTCTACCAGAGCATGCTATCATGCTACTAGAGCATCTTGAAGTATAACCTTATCTCTGTACCTATCTAAGTGTGGGATGTGTATCTCTGCTACTGGTTGGAAGCACTGTATCCTACCGGTTCAGCAACTCCGATAAGGTGGCTGACTAAAAGACAGCAAGTGGAGGGATTTTCTCTCTTTGTTCCCCTCTGGGGGAGGGCCTGAAACCTACCAACACTGTGAGCCTAGATATACCAAGTGAAGTGGAAGTCAGTGGCAAGAGCTCAGATTATTGGGAAAAGAAATAACTAAGGTTATGTCCACGAACATAGAAGAGGGTGGAGACTTGTTCTAGCACAAAATCTCAAATCAGAAATGAAATTGCAGATATGAGTACATAGAAGAAGGCACCAAACATTACAAAGAAATATCATCAGTCAGGAGATGCCCAAGAGGTAAACCCAGAAGAGAGTATAATGTTTGTATTCTAATGGAGAAGAAGAAACAAATGTCTTCTCAGAACCCTAATGTCTTCAAGGGTCACACAGGGAGTTAGGTATGGCAAATGCATGGCCAAATACATATGTGGGTTTATTTTGCTTATTTATGCCTATTTGTAACAAGGGAGAATTTTTTTTTTAAAGCACAGAAGGGAAGAGAGGAACATAGAAGCATGACTAGGATTACTGGCAATAGATCAAGGGGACAAGGGATTTGAGAGTAGAGGGTAATGTAGAGTTAATTGAGTTGGGTCACAGAGGAGTCAAGAAAGGGAAAGGAATAGAGTATAGCCAGTAAGAGAGAGGGGCAGGGGCCTGAAAGAGAATAGAAAGTTGGAAGTAATGGGGGTCATAAAGCATAGGGAAAGATGAAATTATAAAAGACTATGATCAGAAAAAAAGTGACCTCTCCAGGTTTACACAGCCAGTACATATCAGAGGCAAGACCTGAACCCAGATTTTCCTGGCTCAGGGGCCAGCTTTCTATCCCACTATACCACTTTTATCTGTTTCTAGGTTGTATACCCTCCAGGAGTAAGTAAGCTCTTGTAAAGCAGGCACCATTTTGTGCCAGTACCAGCGTCTAGGCCATCAGTTGTCTTGTATATAGCAGAAATTATGCAAATATTTGTTAAATTGCTTTAAATTGAACTAGACAACCTGTTTCTTCACTTTTAACATTTTCTCTAGTGCTTTCTTACATTTACATAGACAATTCCATATACTTGGGATGAACTTCCTCTGCATTTCCTCTGTCTTTCAGAATCTTAGTTTAGGTACCCCTTCCTCCACCTAGCTGAAAGTATTCTCTCCTTCCTCAAATTTTCCTGGACTACTTTGTCTGAAAATTTCCTCTTGCCCTTACACTCAATATTTATCCTTGTACATACTATCTTATTAAAAAAAAAATTGTAACACTGTACTTTCCATTTCAGGCACAGGTCTGCCAGAAACAATTTTTATGAATTTAACATTAATCTAAATTCTAGCATTGATATACTCAAGAGAGAGATGTGCAAATTGGCAGTTACCTCATGCCCTTGGATATACCTCTAGTACAAGTCACCTTGCAATAATAGCTTCAATTTATCCTGTATATATCGAATATGCACATATTTGTTTTCATGTTATCTCCCCATTAGACTTTAACTCCTTGAGGGCAGGGGTGTTTTAGCCTTTCTTATTACTTAGTATATCTTAGTTTCTTAGCACTTAGCTCAGTGCCTGGCACTTGACTTGGTTATCTATGGGAATCTTGAACAAAGGAAACCCAATTTGGAGTTAACATTCTACCCCAACTACCGTTATCCCTTCCACATCACAGGTTAGGGATGGCACCCCCTCCATCTGGAAAATCTCTGCAAAATGTTTTGGCTCTCCCTTTGTACCAGAGAAGTCTGAATTATTAAAAGATAAAATATATTGACATTATATAATACTGTACATATATTGTGTGCATTTCTGAGTTTCTAAACTTTTTCTCTGTTGTCTGCTGGCCTTTGTGTGTCATCTATGGCTTCCACAAAACTCCCCCCAAATTCCCATTTAATGTCTTATGCCAGCCGGAGATGTATCTAAACTGTGATGGGGAAAGTCAAGACGTGGAAGGGATAACTGTAATTAGATTTTAACACAACAATACTCACTCTATCTTTTCTGAGCCTAACCAAGAATCATTGCCCACAAACCACACATCTCTCCCAGATCTCTTCCCTCTAGGGCTCTCCTGAAGTAATCAAAGCAACATCCTAATCTCTTCCAAATTGTAGAGCCATTAGGTGTGTCAAAGCTTTAATAAAGGGAAGTCAATGGTTTTAACTAGAGAAAGTACTATGTTTGTTTACCATCATTAGGGCCTTGGTTTTTGTTCTTCCCTTTATATTGTTGTTCAGTCATTTCAGTAAGGGTTTGTTGTTTTGTTTTGTAAACATTTAAAAGGTTTATTATTGTTATTTTTAAATAATTAATAAATTTTTAAAAATCTGTTAATTTTATTTTCTAATATGGTAAATACTATTCATATAACCCACTTAAGCAAAAGTTCTTTGGACTCCTCAATAATTTTTAAGAGTTAGATGGGGTCCTGAGACCAAAAAGTTTGACAACTATTGGTCTTACTATTGTTCAGTGGTTTTTCAGTCACGTCACACTCCTCGAGACCCCATTTGGGGTTTTATTAGCAAAGATACTGGAATGGTTAGCCATTTCCTTCTCCAGCTCATTTTACAGATGAGGAACTGGGTCATACAGCTAGTCAGGCCAGATTTTAACTCAAGAAGATGAGACTTCTTGACTCCAGGCCTAGAACTCTATCCACTGTGACATCTAGCTGCCCTTAACCTTTTATAGACTTTCCTAAATAAGGTGAGGAAAGAGCCTGAAAAGGACTTTAGACTGGAGAAATATTTGTTTCACAGGTTTTTTTATTTTAAATTTTTTAAAAAATATTTTAGTATCTTAATTTATCATTTAACATTCTTTTTTAAAATTTTGAGTTCCAACTTCTCTCCCTCCTTCCCACACCCATTGAGAAGGCAAGCAATATATCAATTATACATGTGAAATCATGCAAAACATATTTCCATATTAGTCATATTTTTAAAAAAACAAGAAGAATAAAACAAGTATACTTCAATTTACACTCATCACAGAAGGTTTTTAATGTGCTTTCAGTGTCCTCATTGGAATCATTCTATAAGCTCCCTGAAGGCAAGATCTGTGCCATTTTTTTTTCCTTTGTAGTTCCAGTATCTACAAGGGTTCCTTATACACAGCAGGCACTTAAATGTTTGCTGCTCCTTTTTTGAGGTAAATGCTTAATATTTTGAGCTGCTGATTAGACTGAATTAAGCTACTTCCATGTAAGTCAGACAATACACATTTATTAAACACCTATTATTGCTAGGCACTGTAGTAAGCCCTGTGGATAGAAATATGAAAAAAAAACAGTCCCTAACCTCAAGGAGCTTACAATCGAATGGGGGAAGACAACACATAAAAGGGAGCTCAAAACTGGAGAGGGTGTGTGTGTGTGTCCGTGTGTGTGAACACTTTTGAGTTCCCTTTTTTGTGTTGTCTTCCCCTTTAGATTGTAAGCTCCTTGAGGGCAGGGACCTTCTTGTTTCATAAATATATATGACACACATACATACATATGTATATGTGTGTGTGTGTGTGTATACACACCTCCTCTCCCCACTTTTAAGCTTCCTTTTATGCGTTCTTTCCCCATTAGATAAACCTGTGTGTAAAGCACTTAGCAAACCTTTAAGGAGCTGTATGACAGCCATCCTCCTCGTCCTCTTCATATTATGAAATGCAAGCTCCTTGAGGGCAGGGACTGCTGCCTAGCACTGCGCCTGACTCATGGCGGTTAATAAATGCTTATTGATTGATTGGCTCCCAGACGGTCAAATCCTGGACTCTGAAATCACACCTGGCACTGCCCCTGCCAAGGTGCATGGGGCGCGTCCAGCCTCGAAGGAGAGGTACTTTCTAAAGCTGCAGACCGAGGGTCCCCTCCCATAATCCCCCGGAATTAACCTCCGCTGACCCCGGAGCGTGAGCGGACCCTGAGGCCGGAGGACAGTTCTAATTCTCTCCCTTTTCCCGCCCTCAGCCTCTCTCCGGACGCTCGCTGCACGCGGGCTGAGCCGGGCCACGTGGGGCCTTCGCGATCCGGTGGCGCCTGGCCTCCCTCGGCCACCGTAGCGCGGCTGGGCGGCCCGCGGCCGCTGGGGCTCAGGGTTCCGTGAGGACCTGAGGAAGCGGGGCCGGGCCGGGCAGGACCGGGGCTCCGCGGCCGCCATGGGCAACCTGTTCGGCCGAAAGAAGCAAAGCCGGATCACGGAGCAGGACAAGGCCGTCCTGGTGAGGGGGCCTGAGAGGCGGCGGGGCAGGGCACGGGCTGGGGGGCCGGGCGGCCGTGGACCGGGGTGGGAGGGTGTCCCGGGCCCGAGCTCCGGCAGCTGCGGAGCAGAAACCTGAGCCTGGGGTCCCGAGGCCTGGCCCCGCCCCTCGCGTGCCGGGTGACCTCGGGCAAGTCGCCCTCCCCACTCTTCGGCCTCAGTTTCCTCTTCTGTCAAAAGAGGGGTTTGGGCTGGAGGATTCCCTGGGTCTAATTCTTGTATTAGCGGGGCTTGTATCCAGGCGCTGGCGGGGTGTGGGGGTGCGGAAGGAGAGTCTCCATCCTGTCTGGGGGTGCCGAGACTGGAGGTCAGGAAGGGCGTGGACTCCCCACCTTGACCTTTCTGCCCCATTCCAGTCTCCGCCCTGCGGCTTCCTCCTAACATCCTCCCCCTCCCCACCCGGCCCATTCTAGTGCTTCCCTTCTGTTTCTTGGAGGTTTTTTGGGTGGGGGGCGGGGAATGAGAGGAGGTGGGGGTCTGCACCCGGGTCTCGATGCTCTGCTGGGTCTTGAAATTAATGCCCTTCTGCCCTCCGGACGCATCACTTTCATTTTCACACTTCCAGATTTGTATTGGAGGGTTAATTCCTGACCCGGCAGGAGGAAATTAATAATAGTAATAATAACAGCAATAGCTTACTTTTACCTACCGCATTAAGGTTTGCAAAACAAAACCTATATGCATTATTTGGTCCCCACTACAACCCTGTGGAGGTGCTATTATCATCCCTGTTTTACAGAGGAAGAAAGTTATTCCTTTTTTAGTTTCATTTTCTTTGAAGCCCTGAAAGCCTCTTCTCATTATTGCAAAACCTGCCCCATACTAACACTGTTGAAAAGAAAATGTTTTTTGAAATTTTAGTCGGATCTCCTATCCAAAGTGGCTCAGTTTTCTGGGTCTTTGAATAAAATATGTAAATTGCTGACATAATAGCTGGTAACATTTATATATCGATGTAAGATTTCCAAAGTTCTGTATATAATTATCTGGAAAATGGAATATTTCTCTGGCCAAACTGTGCCCACGTTTGCCTTGTGTTTGTATCCTCAGCACATCACTGAGTGTGGTGCCTGGCACATATTAGGTGCTTAGTAGATGTATACTGCATTCGATGAACATATGTGGTATCTCAACAGGGTGAGTTCTAGACTTGGTTGTTGTTTGTCCTTCCTTCTCCAAGAGGACCATGACATCAGGGAGGTGATGCCATGACATACAAGTGAATTGGATTAAAGTGAGGGAGGGCTGTGCAAAGTCACCAACCTCACTCTCTTCTCCAGAGTCATCTGGGTCCAGTGGCCAGATATAGATCAGGATGACTGGAAATGGCCCTCGATGCAGTGGGTCAAGACTTTGGCCTTTTTAAGCTAAGGTCTTTAAGAGGTCTTAGTTTGACTGAGGCATTCAGTGATTAAAACTAAATAAAAAATGAGGCAGAGAATGGCCTCTTTTACCTACTAAAAAAAAAAACAAAACCAGTCTGGGAAGGGAAGACTCTCAAGATTTCTGGCCAGAACAAGAACAATTACTATTTACAATTACTCTGATCCTATCAGGCCCCAAATAGTGACCAAGAGGGGCTTGGGCTGGGCCCTATTGTTGGCCAATCTATGGGAGCCGGAGCAATTTGGGTGAAAGGCATGAGCATGAACCTTAAGAAAAAAAAATCTAGACTGTAAACCCCAAGATATGAGTCTGGAGGAGAAAGTGAGGCTGGTAACTTTTCACAGCCCTCCCTCACTTAAATCCAATTCATTTGCATGTCATAGCATAACCTCCCTGATGTCTTGGTCCTCTTAGAGAACAAAGGACAAGCAACAGTCTCTGTGAATAGTAGTAGGAGCTGTCCCACCGAGGACTGAAACTGGCCAGTTGGACAGCACAGCTCTTTCTTCCTTCCTTCCTTCTTTTCTCTCTCTTTCTTCCTTTCTTCTTTTCTTCCTTTCTTTCTTTCTCTCTCTCTCTCTCTTTCTTTCTTTTCTTTCTTTCTTTCTTTCTTTCTTTCTTTCTTTCTTTCTTTCTTTCTTTCTTTCTTTCTTTCTTTCCCCCCCTGTCCACATAGGGTATCCTACCCTTACCTGTGGGTGCTTTGCCCAAAGGAATGTAAATTTTGATCCAGACTTGGAATTGACTATTGAATGAATGAGTATTATAGCTCAAATATATTCAACTTTTCCTTCCTCCTTTCTAAAAGGAGAGCACCTGTGAAAACTAAAACTGTTAGGGACTAGGTATTCTAAAAAAATAAAAGGGATTAATTAGACAAGTGGGTTGGTGGACTTGTCCAGACCCTTCTGAATTCATGACTGAGCATATACTAGGGCACTCAAAAAACGTTTGATCTTAATCACGATTATAGATTCACGTGCCTCTTAAAGGGGAAACTGGATATAAAAGATAACTTTTTCCAAAGGTGCTTAAGACTTTTGTCTAAAATAATCCAATCAAAGTAGATGATGGAGATGGTTGTAATTTAGTTCATTGTTTTCACCTTTGGCTTTTATAAGTGTGGAGATTTTTTTGGGGGGTAAATGAGTAGGTTGGTGTGGGACTTAAGATTTATGTCTTAAGTAACACAAAGTTGTTTCTCAGATGCTATCAATTTGCCCCAAGGCTTTTATACTTTGTCCTTTTCAAGACAACCCCTTCTGGAATTTGGGAAAAGTACCATCAAGAAGCTTGATCCTCCTGAAAGTCATTCTTAATAACACCACCAAGAATTCTTCCCTGAATTGTGCTTTTTCATTTGTCAGAAAATTACTTCTAATGTGTTTTGTAGAGAAACACAAACTTGCTATCTTTCTTTAAAATGGAAAGAAGGAAACAAACGTTTGTCATTGTGTCCGACTCTTCTATGACCTTTTCTGAGGTTTTCTTGGCAAAGATATTGGAGTGGTTTGCCATTTCCTTCTCCAGGCAACCAGGTTTAAGTGACTTGTCCAGGATCACACAGCTAGTAAGTATTTGAGGCCACGTTTGAACTCATGAACAGGAGTCTTCCTGACTCCAGGCCTGGCCCTCTATGCACTTTGCCACCTAGCTGCCCATTTATTAAGCTTATTTATTAAGCACCTGCTAAGTGTCAAGGCACTGTGCTAAACGCTTTACAAATATTGTCTCATTTGATCTTTAGGCTTCTTCCTCTCCCCATAAAGTCCCAGGACCTTGTATAATCACAGACTAAAAGAACAGATTATAATCATCTAATATTTCTTTAATATGTGACTGAAGGAAACTGTATATCCCAGCATGTGGTATGGTAACCACTGCTCAGAAATTAGTTTAACAACTGTTATTTTCACAGAGGAAGAAATTTGGTTATATTTAAAATCTCCTAATATTTGAATCATCATTTAAATAGACCAGGAGAAAAAATATATAAATAAATAAATAGACCAGGAGTTAGCATTCATTCAGAAGTAGTATGCTAAGCTGGTCAAGATAGAGAGAAGAGACCATGGCTAGATCAACTCTTTTGAATATGTGGGTGAGACATAAACATGTGTTACCCAGAGCAGCAGGGCAGTGTCCAGGGAAAGAGGGGAGGTATAGAGACTGGCCCATATGCTGCTGAAAATTTACCCATTTGCCATCTTTGGCATGGATTATAGATCTCTGCCACGTATACCAAAGCCACTTAATAATGACTTGTCCAAATGGTGATTTAACATTGGTGATTGCACATTTATCATTGCGTGAGTGTGTGTCTCAGTTTACGTAGGTCAGTATTGCAATTGTCTCTCCTAGAGCATGGATTCCCTGAGGATAACAATCACATCTGCATAATTTGGTCTATACAAACCATGTTCCTTGGTAAAAATGGTGACTTGGAGGTTGATCATATTGTCAGAGGCATTTTGGCTTGATAATGAGAAATAGACTTCCCTCCATCAATCAGAAATTAATGAGATACAATTTCTCTTGCTTCTAACAGCAATTGAAACAACAGCGGGATAAGTTGAAGCAGTACCAGAGGAAGATCACCCAGCAGCTGGAGAGGGAAAGGGAGATTGCCAGACAACTTCTTCGTGATGGAAAGAAAGAGTAAGTGAGAGGACTAGAGAGACCCCCTTGCTTCTGGCTGAAGTCAGACCTGGAAAAATGTGGGATGGGAGAACTGAATTCATAACACAGAATTCTCTGGGTATTTCTTCCCTGATCTTTCTGAATGTCAGCTCACTAGGTCTGCGTATGCTCCCTCCTCTCTGCAAGGGCTCCCCAAGGGCTGTGTTCTATTTAGGGATGCAGATGTCCCTTTTACCAGGTTTGTGCTCAAGGGGGCCTGTTTGCTTTAGTAATTGATGGGCCTTGAGATTCCAGCCCACAGTGATTATGTTGTGATTCTTCTGTTGCTTCCGTCTGTGTCATGGTGTCCCCTGTTGGATTTCCTTCTGCAGAAGGGCAAAGTTACTGCTTAAGAAGAAGCGTTACCAGGAACAGCTCTTGGATAAGACAGAAAACCAAATCACAAATCTAGAAACTATGGTATGTATATATATATAGAGAGAGAGAGAGAGAGAAGTCCCCATAGCCCAAAGTGGTGAATGTGCCATAGTACCATAGGCTGTTTTGATAACATTAGACAAAAGTGTTTTTGTGACAAATATAATCCTTTGCCAGGACATGATTTAACCTGACTTATTAATGAAGCAGTTGCAACTGAAGGGCTCATACTGGAACTTTGAGTCCACTACAGATACAGTTGTCTTGAGAAAAATTAAAATAGATATTTCCTTTTCTAGAATCTATAGCTAGTCTAGGGGAGAGTTGGAAAAGATTGGATTGGATCGTGAGCCAGTTTAGAATCTTGTCATGGAGAAAAGAGAGTCATGAAGTATTCAGGTAAGGGTTAGCATCCAGTAGAGAGACAGGGTTTATATAGAGAAGCAGTTTCCTGCTTCCTGGATTTGAACTCCACTTAAGCTTCCTACTAGAGAAAGAAGAACTCTGGCTTTTACTTCAAGAATATTGAAGGAAGTTAGGAAACTCTGCCTTAGAAAGATAAGCTGTACATAACTACTGGAGCAGTTCTAAAATGTGGGCTTTGCAACAAAATTTTATTACTGTTACTAGACAACCATTCAACAGAGAATTTACCTTGGAGCCAGGAAGAGCTGGGTTCAAGTCCTGCCTCTAATTCTGGCTGTGTGACTCTGCGCAAGTCACTTAACCCCTTTGTACTCTAGGCTGGGATGTCAAACATAGATGTGGCCCACAATGCTCCCAGACCAGATTAAAATGTGATTGGGAGATATTTAACAAAATGAATAGAAATATAATAAAACATAAATGACATTACATTTTAAAACAGTATATAGCCCACAGGAATCCTTATGTGTGAGTTAATGGCTCCTTGTTTCAATTTGAGTTTGACATCACTGCTCTAGGCAAATTTCTAAGACTGTAAGTTGAAGAAGAGATGTCAGTTGGCAAGAGTTTTCTCATCTAGGAGTTCCCTGTATTAATGAAATCATAAGCCAGTGGCAATCCCAATTATTCTTACTGTAATCTTTCAGTTATTGCTGCCCATGGGAATAGAGATCTTTGAAATCCATGTATAATCCTCCAAATTTTCACCAGTACTTTCACGAGAAGTCACATAGTCTACTTAGAGTTTTGCCTCTACTGTTTTCCTCTGTTTGCATGCTAATGAAGGCTAGGGATAAGTGAATTGTTTAAAAGTCTTATTTCTGAAGGTGAGAGGAACATATGAGGGGTGATGCACACTGTTATTAGCCCTTGGAGTAGACAAGGGATGCTTGATTGTGTAAAAGTAATAAAGTAGTGGTTTGGCTTCAGAATGTCTCCTGAACAAGGTGGGATTTGATTTGTTTGTTTTTTTTCCTTCAGGTTCAGAATATTGAGTTTACCCAGATTGAAATGAAAGTGATTGAAGGCCTGAAATTTGGAAATGAGTGTCTGAATAAAATGCATCAGGTAGGTACTGCTTAAGGTTAAGCAGGTAGGTACATCACGAAGGGTACTTCTGGGATGGAAGAAGAACTAAATGGAGCAGCACAGGATGAGGCAAGTAGAGCAGTGACCCAGAGGCTTGTAAAACAAAGGGTAGCTGCAGGAAGCATTATTAAGCATCTACAGGGGATAGAGCCTTGCATTGGTTGCTGTAGAAAAATACAAAGGAAATAGAAGACATGATCTCTACCATTGAGCTGTAGTTTTCTTAAGGAGAAAAAAAAATACCTCTGTAAAGTGACTTAACAACAGTTACCAAGCAACCTATCAACAAGTGTAAAACAATGCAAACTAAATCCATAAGTGCCAAAGAGATGCAGAGTAAAATGTAACTAATTTTAAAATTAATTGGGGAAGACTTGGTATAGAACATGAGTTTTAAGCTAGGTCTTGAAGAAAGCTATGGTTGAATTGATTCCAAGGAGAGGATTAGGAGGGCTGGGAGGGATTTGTAATAAATCCCACTGCTCCCCTTTTGACTATTTAAAAATGCCGCCTTGTGGCATAGGGAGTTGGAGATGGGAGAGTAGAAACATCTGCCCTAAGATATTTTTTTTAAATGAACATGTAAGACTTCTAATTATATACTATCTCAGATAAAATCTTCTAAAGGAGTTGGTAACATTTTATGTTTTGTTCAACAGCAGTGAAAGCAGTAACCCTGGAATCCCAAGTACAATTTCCTTACTTAGGCTGAGAACCAGGCCTGGCCTAATTTGCATTTCTTATCTGGCCAGTAGAATTCATAGTCATTTTTAACCAGGTACCAGAGTGGTAGCAGGTGGTAGATAGTGGCATGAACACTAGGTTACTTGTTTTCTAGTGCTGGCTGTGCCACAACTAACTGAGTGATTTTGGGCAGTGACTTCATCTTTTTAGGCCTGAGTTTCCTCGTTTTAGGGGATTAGGCTAGGTGAGTGCTGAGATCCCTTCAAGGTATAAACACTTTATGTTATGCTATTAGGTCATGTCTATAGAAGAAGTGGAAAGGATAATGGATGAAACCCGAGATGCTGTGGAGTACCAGAAGGTATGAATTCTATATGTGTGTTTGTGTCTTGATCTCTTCCAAATAGTAATTGCCAGTTGTCCATTTACTGTGTAATATAAATTGCCAGTCTTCAGGGGCATGGCACTTCCATACTGGTTTCATTGATGTACTTCCTTGATGAGTGAAGTCTTGGGGTTGCAAGACAATTTTATACCTGACCTTTCTCACCCTTTTACCTCGCTCCAGGCTTCAGCTGTAAGGAGCAGGGGCAGGATGGCAAAAGATGTGTTAGTCCTTGTGGTTCTTCTCTTTGTAGCAAATTGATGATCTCTTGGCTGGCAGTTTTACTCAAGAAGATGAAGATGCTATCTTAGAGGAACTGGAAGCAATCACTCAGGTAAGAAAAAGATTGTGAAAATCCCAAATCCCTGCTAATCCAGATGTTACGTACATGGATTACGAGTTAAGGTCTTTTTCCCCAACTAATTTTCCTTGCCAGTTAAATCAGTGTAAATGTTAAAAAGAGTTGGCATCTCCTGAACACATATTGATTAGGTAGTGAGATCAAGAAAGAGTCCTGGGAGTATCCTGAAAGACAGGCTGGAATAGATTTTTAAATTTTTTTTTTTTTACAAATGGTCCACATGAATAACTGAGAATTTGAACATAGTTTTCCCTGGAAATAGAGGATTACTTTCCTTGCCCTTTTCTGTCCCTCTTCTCCTCTACCCTCAATTGGAAGTGGTGTGAGGTTTTTTGACTTTTTTTTTTTTCTATTCCATGGTTCTGGTCAATGGTCATTGAGTGGATGAATGAGTGCATGCATGTATGAATGAGCACCTCCATCCACAAGAGACTTTTAGAAGAAATCAGCCCAGGCCTTTCCTGCTTGTTCTCACTTCCAGAGCTCTCTTATGGGACATTCAGTTTGAAATGTCCAACAGCACCAATCTTGATTCCAAAAGTACGGTTCCTGCAACTTGGTGGAGACACGATAGACTGTAGGTACAGAGTGAGAAAATACATTTTCAGACGTGACCAATACAACACAAATTTATTTTGCTTGACTCAGCTTTCTTGTTACAGAGGAGAGCCCTTTTGATGGAGGGTGGGGGAGAGGATAATAGTGATGCAAAAAGTCAATAAAATACATAAAATACACAATAAAGATGAAACGGATGGTAAAAAAGTTGATGTATATTTTAAAAGCAACAGGCCATATGTAGTTCCATATGCAGTCTTCTTTTGTACATGGAAATGTTCATATTCATTGACAGCTGTTAATAAAAATATTTAATTTTTTAAAAATGTTTATTAGGCAGTTGGTGCTCAGGAAAGAAAGTAGGGCTGGATATAAAGATTTGGGAGTCATCTGCATAGATATGATAGTTAACGGGAACCAGAGAATGCTAGAGCCTGATGAAATTGGCTTGTGAGAGCCAATTGTTAAATTTTCATTGTGAACATTCATCTCTCAAATCAGCAAGCCCTATAGATCAGGGCTTAATTTATTGTTTTGTTGATTGCCTAGACTTAAAAAGTGGAAAAAATATTTTAAATACAGATTAGACTTAAAATTGTGCCCTGTATTTTTGGAGGGCAGATTTTTAAACATTTATCACCACACCTTTTGTGGGAACTGGTAAGAAAGTAGAGGAAGCAGAGAAGAGAGCCCAGAAGAGAGTTTTGGAGTACATTCACAGTTAAAGGAAATGAAATGGATAATGATCCGCTTCAGGCAAAGGAGCCTGAAAAGGAGCAGTCAGACAGGGAGGAGAGCCAAAAGAGAACATGTCACACAACCCCAGAGAGTCTAGAATATCCAGGAGGAGAGAGTGGTCAGCAGTATCAGAGGCTGCTGAGAAATCAAGAAGGATTGTGGTAGAGAAAAGAGCATTCGACTAAGAGATTGCTGGTCATTTTGGAGAAAGTATTTCCAGTTGAAGAATAAGGACAGAAGCCAGATTGCAGAGGGTTCAGAAGAGAATTAGAGGGAGTAGAGGCCTGCAGTGTAGACAGCTCTCCCAAAGAGTTCACTCATAAAGAGAAAGAGGAGCAAAGAATATACAGATATAGATAAATAGTGGCATCATCCAGCCATTGTTTACAGGGGAGGGAAAGGGTTAAAGATGTCTTATAGGCTTGGGCATATTTGTAGGCATTGACAAAAGAATTATAGATTGAGGTAGAGATCTCTACCTCAAGATGGAGATTGATGGTTTAAGAGGGAGAGAAAGGAGGTGAAACTGGGGGCAGTTTGCTGGAGAAGACAGGAAGAAATGAGATCAAGGATGCCCATAGAGGAGTTGGCTTGGATGAGGAGAAGGGCCACCTCTTTAGAGCTTGGAGTAAAGGGGGAAATATTAGGAGGTTTAATTAAGGAGTTTTGAAATGCAGAAAAGGAGAAAAAAAGCCTTGGATGAATAGCTTCTGTGTGTCTGCTAAAAGGTATCATAGGATAGAACCAAAATGGTTAGAAGGGAACTTAGGATAATAGTTTGCATTAATAGTTAACATTTTCTGTAAAATGCACCATGTAAGTGTTATGTCCATTTTGCAGATGAGGAAACTGAGGCACACACACAAAGAAAGACTAATTGACTGGCTCTTGATCACTTGGCTGCTGTGTGTCAAAACCAAAGTTTTGACCCCAGTGCTTCTAATTTCCAAGTCTGATGTTCTTCCCACAGTGCTGTGATCTAGTCAAATCTCATTTTACAAAGGAGAAAACAGGTTTAAGTGAATTCTCCCAGGTCATAGCTAATTACTAGTCAAGTCAAGATTAAGAACCTAGGTCTTCTGACTTCTAGTCTAGAGATTTTTCCATCATACCATGCTGCCTTTCTAGTATTATTTTGATGAAATTTCCATTCACTACCTTTCCCTCTCTCTTCAGAGCCTAGGTACTCACAAATAGTACCTTTAACTTGACTTGATATGACATGAGGGGTGGGGCACAGAGCCACAGTTGCCCCTCCTCAGAACCAGAAGCTATTGAAACTGGTCGTTCGGAATCTAGCTCTATTGCAAGAGCTCTTGATGTGGGGTACCTAGAAACTTATTTTTAAAAATACTTTGATAACTGTACTTCAATATAATTGGTTTCCTTAGTAATCTTATGTATTTGATTTTATGCATTCAACAACATTATTCTGAGAAGAGGTCCACAGGTTTCACTAGACACTGGCAAATAATAGTAATAGCTAACGTGTGTAGCACATACTGTGTGCCAGGTTTTAAAGTGCCAAGCGCTTTACAGTTATTATCTTATTCAGTCTCACAACAACCCTGCAAGATAGGTGCTGTTAATATCCCCATTTTACAGATGAGGAAACTGAGGCAGACAGTGGTTAAGTGACTTGCCTAAAGTCAGACAGCCAGTAAGCATCGAGGCTGCATTTGAACTGAAGTCTTCCTGACTCCAGGCCCCAGCTCTCTGGGGCCAAAGGGATTGATGACACACTGATGTTCTGCTGGACGTATTCTGAAGACCACAAGGACCCAGAAATTCATGGTTAAGAGTTTTGGTCTCACATAAAGCCAATAGTTAAGGAAGACCCTTTGAGCTGAAGGAGCTTGTTTAACCTTGAGTAGAAGGTGAAGAGACAGAGCCTACAGGGGCTGCTTGTTGAACCAATACCAAACCTTAAGACTTTCCAGAATTGTACCTCAAACCTTGTTCTCTTTTGTCTTTGTAGGAACAAGTAGAGCTTCCAGAAGTTCCTTCAGAACCCCTGCCAGAGAAGATTCCAGGCATGTCCTTTTCCCTTTTGAACAAATACCTTAGCATCTTTAAAGTTTACAAGAGAGTTAAATTTGTTGTGTTAAATTTAAGGGATGACCAAAGTGCATGTATGCCAAGGCCTTCTTAAAAGATTGCATGGAATTTCAGAAGGGCTGAGTTAATATTCTTTCTCTTGGCAGTGACCTGGACATTGTTTTTAAAGAATTATATCCTAGAAATTGGGAATACTGTGAAAATAGTATACAAAAAAGTCTGTTTGGCCACCAAGGCTGTCTCCTCCATGAACCAGCACAGCATTTAATACATTCTCAGTAGAGTAGGGCTCTGCTCATTGTTTTCTGTTTTAGTTGTGCTCTTCCCTGGGGAACAGCAACTGCTGTCTTCCCATAAGTTGATTTTAACTGTCAAAAAATGTCTGTTGGCAATCTGCCTTTGCTTTGCTTTCATAATTTCCCCGTTTTGCCTTTTTTTTTGGTTATCCTCTAAGTGGTTCCTGTCCTTTACTAGAGTTTCTTTTAGTACAACATCTGTGGCCAACTTTGTTCTTAAAATCCGTTTGTCTTAGATTTTTTTTTCCTTTTATAATAGCGCTCCATCTTTTTTTCATACTCAAGATGTGGAAGCAAACAAGGTCTTTCTCAGAATGGAATGCCTATAGAGTAGCTCTGACTTTTGGGTGTTTTGTGTAAAAGTAACAAGTATTTTTTTCCTCCACAGAGAAAGAACCTATCAAGACAAGGCCAAAACAGGCAGAACTGGTGGCATCTTCTTAACCTTCTTTCTTCCCCCACCGGGGCCTTGAAGGGACTTCCTAAGAAACTATGACCCACAGAGGGTTTGGCTTCTCAGTCCCAGGAATGGGCATGCCCTGGAACTCTCCTGGACTGGACAAGGCAGAGCAAAGCAAAGTGGACAGGGGAATGCTGACTGATCAGCAGCACATTTATTGCTCTTGTATCAAGATTTTTTTCTAGAGCATTTTTTTCCTGGTACTTTAAAGTCTGAATGCACTTTAGTAGTGCTGTCTTTCTCTCATCTCTGGATTAAATGGTGACTTGCAAACTTTTCAAGCCAAATGCTGTTGCTAAAGGTTGTGATTTCCATAATGGTCAAGCCCCAATCACAACACTCTTGGTGCTGTATTTACATTACCTACCCCAGACCCTGTGATGTGCTTGAAGGACTTCCTTCTCCATAGACCTTTTCTAGGGGTTTGGCTGCATTGGGAAGGAGCAGAGGACTTTTCCTTGAGTAGTCCCACCACCGAGAGGAGAGGTCGTTTGATTTGAGTTCCTGTTGGATTCTGTGTGGGACCAGAGGAAGGAAAGACAGAGGACGTCCCTGTAAACAAAGCCTTTCTGTGCTGCTCTTCTTTGGTACTCCATCCTCTTCCCCTACCTGTTGAGATAGGACAACAGCATGTTCAAATCTGGGTTAGCTTCTCCACACTGAACCAAAAGGTAAAGCTGTAGGAGGGAGAACATAAGACTTTAGCTTCATTCCTCTCATCATTTTCATTGTGTTGTTAAAACTGGGACTGCCTTGGAGAAATTATCACTGGTCTTTCTATAGAATTTCCAATAATGTTCCTGAAAGGTTCCGGAGTGTGATAGAAAAGACTGTGGTTCTAGCAGGGAAGTTCTTACCTGTGAAAACCCAGGATGTTGTATCTTTTCTAATCCTTTTCAAGCCCTAAGATTCACCTGAAACTTTCGTTTCCTTAAATTTGGCTGCTATATTCTCCCTGTTATAGCACTTTTTGGCTTCTGAAGTGGGAGGGGAATTCCTTCATACCATTTGTATACATAGTTCCTGTTTTAATATTAGGCCATGGAGCTGCCATTTGACTTTATTCTCCATTTGAAATAAACAAGAGCAGAGATTCTAGCAGAGGAACCTTCTAACGGTGGTTCTCAATGAATTTACCCTTTAATCTCTCCTTCCTCCCGAAAAATAGGGAGAAAAAATATTTAGCATTGTTCTAGTCTAGTCTCTACAGTCGGTTCTGATAAGGGTAGGATGAGGCTGGGCTTTTGCTTCTGTAGAACTTGAGGTGGAATGTGCCTTGTGGCCTGAAGTTTCCTTTTAGGCAGCCATATGGATAAGATAGCTGGGGCCTGGTAGCAGAGATTTGGAGGTGGATTCTAACAAAAATATTAATTTTATTTGGCTATAATCACTTTGGTACAGTCATGAATTTGAGTGTTTTTCTCCATAAGTACATTGTTCTGTGATCCCCAGAACTCGTGATCCTTGAGACACCAGCTTATCCCTTGTTGAAATAAGGGAGACAGTTCATATCATCCCCTGGATGTTTGATTTTAGACCAAGGATGTCTCGTGATGTATAAATTAGCCACTAGGGGGAGGCTCATCCTCTAATCTACAAAGTTAATCTTTGCAGAAAGTGTCAGGCCTCAGCCGACTAACTTGGAACTGACTACTTCCACCTCCCCATCTGCTGCTTAGTGACAAAACCACGTAGATCCAGAGTCAGAAAGTTCCTCAGACGCCGTCTAGTCCAACACCTTCATTTTACAGGGGAGGAAACTGAGGCCTGAGGATGTTAAATGATGTACCCAAAGTCATAGAACTTAGTATCGAACAAGATTGGATCTCTGACTTTGAAGAGCGGTTATTACCACAGAATTGTAATGAAGTACTGAAGAAAGTGGGAGTTTTCTTTGAGCTGAGGGATTAGATGACTAGTTGGGTTTTATAGAACAGAAAGGCAGAGAATCACAGAATTTTAGAGTTGTAAGGGACCTTCAGTGATCATGTAGTTCATCCCTTACCTGAAGAAGAATTCCTGTTTCAACATACCCAGTTAAGTAGCCAACCAGCCTTTGCTTGAGACCTTCAGTGGAAGGTAACTCACTACCTCCCAAGGCAACTCATTCTACTTATGGTTAGCTTTTAATTGTTAAACAATTTTTCCTGACGTGGAGCCTGTATTGGTCTCCTTGTAACCTTTTGCTCCTGGTTCTACCCTGTGGGGCCAAGAACAAGTCTAATCACTGTTCTACATTGCAGTCCTCAAGGCTTCTATCATGTTACCTACTCCTGAACCCTAAGGCTTTTCCTCTTCAGACTAAACATGCCTGGTTACTTTAACTGAGCCATATATGTCGTGGATTAAAGCCCTTCAACAACCTGGTTGTCCTCTAGGTTCTTTCCAGATTATTTGTGTCCTTTTTAAACTGTTTTTTCCTATAGTAAGTATACTTAGTAGTGGTGGAATGGGACCTTTTTGTTGTTCAGGAAAATGAATTCTTAGGGATTATCACCTCATCTCCTGAGGCCCCAGTTCCTCACCTGTAAAATGACTTTTGATGTCTCAGCTCTATGATCGAGTTGATCCATGCCTCAGTTATGAATTCAATTACCGTAGTTGTTGGGAAGAGTAACGTTGGATCATGAGATCCATCCTAAACCCTCATTTTAGGTGAGTTTCAGTCTTCCCCACCAAACTCCTAACAGAACTTTTAATGGGTGCGTGTAGAATGGAACAGAGCAGATAGGAATTCTCTTTTCTCTTTGTCCTGTCACCTGAACAAACAGATCATAGGATACTAGAACTCGAGCTGGAGGGAGCCTAGAAGTCATTTCATTCAACCAAACCCCCTTGTTTCACAAAAGAAGAAACTGAATTCCAGAGGTTTAAGTAAGTTGCCTATAGTTCCACAACTAGTAAGTGGCAGGATTCAGGATTTGAACCCAGGTCCTGCACTCTTTCCACTGCACTGCACAATGTTGCTTCAGGGGGAAAAGCCAGGAATCTGAATAATCCATATACTAAATAACAGCCGGTCCCTGAGCTATTGAAAACTGGCTGCATTTGTACAGTAGAGGAGTAGATCCTTTGGGCTTCAGGCTTGGAGATCATCTGCTATTGAGAAGGGAATGGGGTAAGGAAGTGGTTAACGGAGCCATCCATCACATCCTACCTGCTGTCACTGAAACACTAACAAATCCCATTTGCCTGAGATTTACAGCAGCCAGTTTTCAAGGGCTTGCCTACAGTTTCCTGTTCTAACCTCTGTACCAAACAGATTGTACCGTGTATATCCTTGAGAGAAAAAGCCGAATGTGTTGTGATCTTCATGATATGTTGTAACAATAAAGTATTTTTAATGGTTTCATCACCAAGTTCTTGCTATTCAGATTGCTATGAAAAAATCTGCATTATTTGTTGGAGAAGCACATTATCTTCTCAGTGGCATTTGGGGTGAAGCATGTTTTGAAAACTGAAGGTTTATGGAGAACAGTAAGCCTGCCTAGTGATTAAAAACTGCAATAGCTTTAACCATATGTAGGGGCATTGCAGAAGCCAGTCCAAACTGACAAAGACTCTATGTGTATGTTCACAACAGAAGACTGATGACTGAATTGACCAGGATGGTAGGTGGCCATGCACATAGGTATATACACATATCCATACAAGCATCATCTCAGCCATTTGGTTGGGTGGGTTAGAGCACAGGGCTAATGAAGCCACAGTAACTAGCTTTTGTTCCTTGCAGGGTATGTTTTAATGTCCACAGCCACCAGGTATGCGTGCACAGAAGGAGTCACTGGTTGAAATGGTGCAAACTCAATGCTACTTAAAAAAAATTCAAACCTTCTAGTTTTGTGTGTAGGTAGTATATAAAGCAGATCACTTTCAGGAACCTCTATCCCTGAAGCTATTGTTTCAAACTTGAAGGATGATGAATTGGAACAAGAACCCTGAACCTATTAGAAGTGGAGCCTATTCTAGATCCACTATTAGTGCTCCTCATTCTGTAATGGCCTTCTATTAACTTTAGGTCAATGCTGGTGGGAGGAATAAAAGGCGAAAGTGATAAAAGCTTCTTCCTATATTTTTCCGTTGCTAGTTAAGAAGCTGAGGTCTGGACTCAAGTCAGGAGTCCTGGGTTTGAACCCATGCTTGGCCGTTTCTTGGTATGACCATGGGTGAATTAATTAACTTTTCTGAGCCTTGGTTACCTCACCTGGAAAGATGATCTGTAAATTTATAGAGGCATTTCACTCATAAGTAATGTTCCAGAGAACAGAACCAAGCACAATATGTGAAAATTACAAAGAAATTGAGGTTTGAGGTAAAGGAAAAAAGTTTACTAATAATTAGAACTATCCAAAACTGAAATGGGCTGCCTTGGGAAGCAATGATTTCCCCTTCATGGGAGGCCTTTAAGCAAAGAGGGTACATGACTGCTTGGCAGGTATATCATAGAGGGATCCTTGTTAGGGTCACACCAGATGGCCCCTGGCATCCCTTCCTTCAAAGAGATTCTGGGATAAGTATGCCACCCATTTCCCAGGGTTCTCATGGAGGAAGCACTTTGTAATCCTTAACACGCTATAGAAAAGGGAGATGTTATTCAACAAGTATTTATGTGCCGTCTGTATGCAAAACAGTGCTCTGTGGTACACCCTGTTAGGTACTGTGCAGAATTCACAACTCTCACTTTTATCAAGCTTTTAAGTTGGTTGCAGAAATAAGACTGGAGTATGAAACAACTGGAGGATATGAAGCAACATTAAGTACTAAATAGTGTGGTAGAAATTCTAAGTACCATAGGAGTTCAAGATAGCTCTTCTGTCCTGTTCAGACTATATATGGGGTCATATGTCCAGTTCCAGAAACCACATTTTAGGATGTATGTTGACAATGTTTCTAGAGAAGGATGACTACAGTGTGAAAGCCATGACATACAAAGACTAGTTGAAGAAATTGGGGATGCTTAGCCTAGAGAAGAGAAGATTTAGGGACAAGGTATTTACTATCTTCAAATATTTACATCGGTGGGTTTTGTTTTTGTTTTGCATGTAGAGCCATTTTAAAAGTAAGAGGTAAAACTGAAAACTCTAATCACATTATCTCACTTTGTGGGAGGTGGGGGGAATATGGTAGAGCCAGAGTATTTCGAGGACTGTTGTTGTCCATTGGGAGAATTGAGCCCTCTTGGTCAGAGTGTATCACCCTGACATTATACCACTAGGAAGAGGTAGGCCAGTATTACAGTCATTCAAGGACAGAAAGGAGTTGGCAGAGGTTGCCATAAGCCAGCCCCTTTGGTTTCTCTACAGAAACTAGGTTCAGGCCTCTCAGAATCAGCCATACTAGTAGACATCGAGCAGCATAGAAAATTCCAGAATTTCAGAATTGAAAGGGACCTTGGAAGCTAATTAGTCCAACCCTGAACAAGAAAACTTCCAGTAAAGAGGCATCCACTATCTCCCAAGGCAATCCATTCCACTTAAGAAGAGTTATGGTTATTAGGAATTTTTCCCCCTCCATCAAGCCTAAATTTAACTCTTTGGAATTTCAATAAATGTTCATTTAGTAACTATTATATGAAAGATTCTCTCCTTCTTTACCTTCTTCATTCTTCCTTCCTCTTGAAGACTCTAGCTCCATTTAAGTCTCGTCTTAAAGTCTACTTCTTGCATGATCCCTTTCCTGAACCCTTCTGATTGCAATTCCAATTGTCCTGATCTGTATCTTGCAGCTGGACCCAGATGGCTCCAGAGCAGAAAGTGAGGCTGATGACTTTGCACATAGTCCTCCTTCACTTAAATCCAATTCACTTGCAAGTCATGGCATCACCCTGATGTCATGGTCCTCTTTGAGACCTAAGGACAAAAAACAGCTTATGAGTGGCATGAGCTGCCCTGCTGGGGAACCAACTGGCCAGTTACAGTTGGGCAACACAGCTCCTTCCAATTTTCTTCCTTCCTTCCTTCCTTCCTTCCTTCCTTCCTTCCTTCCTTCCTTCCTTCCTTCCTTCCTTCCTTCCTTCCTTCCTTCTTTCCTTCCTTCCTTCCTTCATTTTTCCTCTCCTCTACTCTCCTCTTCTCCTTCCTTTCCCTCTGTCCACATAGGGTATTATACCCTTAGCTGCAGCTACTCTGCCCAAAGGAATGTAAATTTTGATCCTTGAAGCCTCACAAGATATATTGGGGTTTATGGGCTAGATTTCTTTCTTAAGGACCATGCTTTAAATCCAAATTACTCTGGCTGTCATTGATTAGCCCATAATAGGTCCCAGCCCAGGCCCACAGAGTCCTGATTTCTCAGAGTGAACATAAACAGCAATTGTTTCAGTTTTGGCCAGAAACTCTGAGGGTCTTCCCCCCAGATTGATCTTTTTTTTTCTGATTAGGTAAAAGAGACCATTCTTTGCCTCATTTCTTATCCCCACTTAATCACTGAATAGGCATTGCCTCAGTCAAACTGAGACCTGGGAAAGACCTTAGCTTAAAAAGGCCAAGGTATCTACCCACTGTGTCCAGGGTCATCTCCAGTCAATCTGATCTATATCTTGCCTCTGGACCCAGATGACTGCGGAAGAGAGTGAGGCTGGTGACTTTGCACAGCCCTCCCTCACTTAAATCCAATTCACTTGCAAGTCATGGCATCACCTCCCTGACGTCATGGTCCTCTTCAAGAATGAAGGACAAACAACAACCTGATCCCTCCCAATGTTGGTACTACATACTACTCTCTCATCACCAGTTTTGCTTTATGTTTATTTCTCTCCAGTAGAATGTAAGTTACTCAAGGGTAGCAACTATTTTTTTCCTTTGTATTCTCAGTGCCTAGCAGGTACATTAATAAATAAGTACTTAATGTAACCGGTACTTAAAATAAGTACTTAAAATAACAGTTACTTATTAAATGCCAGCTGAATTGAAGTAAGGTCCAGAGAACCAAAGTGCTTTGTTCAAGGCAGCTGGCAGCCCAATGCTAGGCCAGGATTCAGCAAGACCTGAGTTCAAATGTGGCCTCAGGCACTAGCTGTGTGATCCTGGGCAAGTCTGCCTGTCTGCCTCAGTTTCCTCAACTCCAAAATGAAGACGCTCTCTGAAGAGTTGTTGTGAGATCAAATGAGATAATACTTGTGGAAGTGCTTAGCACAGTGCCTGGCTCATAGTAGGTGCTGTATAGATGTGTATTTCTCTTTCTCCCTTCCAAAGTTTGCATATGTATGCAGTAAGTGGCAAAGCTAGGAGTTCAACCTTGGTTCAGTGACTCCAAATTCAGTTCTTATTCCACTGTGCTTGCCCATCAGAGCCTGATCCTCCTTTGGCTGTGGAGGTTATTCCAGCTTGTATGTAGCACAGGCAGTTTAACCTGGGCATAGCCAAACTGTTCCTGCTCAGCTCAGTCATTTCCAGTTGTGGCCAATTCTCAGTGACCTCATTTGGGGCTTTCTTGTCAAAGATACTGGAGTGGTTTGCCATTTCCTTCTCCAGATCATTTTACAGGTGACGAAACTGAGGCAAACAGGGTTAAGTGACTTGCCCAGGGTCATGCAGCTAGTAAGTGTATGAGGCTGGATTTAAACTCATGAAGAGGAGTCTTTCTGACTCCAGGCCTGGCACTCTATCCACTGTGCCACCTAGCTGCTCCTGTGCCTGTTACAGGTCAATCACATGTAGCTCCTAAGTGGCCAGGAAATTTGGGGTTTGTAGGAAATACCATTGAGATAGCCAACTTACCAGGTGTCCAGATTTCTTTTTCTGCAACAGCACATCTGCCTGCTGGTTGTGATGTCTGTTTATTGAGAAGATGGTAAATTTAAACCTGCTAAAAACAGCACCCATTTGGATCCAATACCACTTGGGCTGCCTGAAGGTGCCCTACGCTCTCACAGTCTTTATGGCTGATTATGGGGGAATCAAACTGGCTCCAAATGCTATATCAGCACTTCAAATGTGGTCTTTACTACAAGTAGGTATTTCTACCACATTGCATTAAGTTCAGCTGCCAATTAATTAAAAAATATCTCAAAGGATATTCCTCATGCCATTGAAATGAACTCCAGCCTACCTTTTTGTGGTTATTATAAATAACTCCCTCACACTATCTATGCTCCAGTCAAACTAACCTTCTCACAGGTAACATTCTACTTTCCATTCCTCTGTCTTTCTTTGCTCAGGCTGCCCTGCATATCTGAAATTCACTCCTTCTTCCCCTCTGTCTCTTAAAATCTCGGTTTCTTTTAAAACTCGGCTCAAGTGCCATCTCTGATATATAAAATCTTTCCTAGATGTTTTTGCCTCCTGACTGTCGACCAAATGTCTGAGTATTTATTTTTTATGCATTCTGCATATGCTTATCTGTGTACACATGATC